CTGTGTCAATTGCATTATCTAACCATCTCATCCTCTGCCATCCCCTTCTCCTTTTGACTTCAATCTTTCCCATCATCAGGTCTTTTCCAATGACTCCTCTCTTCTCATATGGTGGCCAAAGTATTTGAGCTCCAGTTTCAGTATCTATCCTTCCAAATAGTCAGAGTTGATTCTTTCGGATTGACTGATTTGATCTCATTGCAGTTCAAGGCACTTTCAAGAGTTTCCTCAGATACCACAGTTTGAAAGCATCAATTCTTTGGTGCACATCCTTCCCTGTGGTCCAGCTCTCACTACCATACATTACCCGCGGGACACTGATAGCTCTGACTATAACCTATGTGGCTACCTTCCTGCAATCTGTCGTAATGAATCGTTTGCATAACCGTGACTTCTTTGACTTTGTAATAAAGCTTTTAGCAAACTGTGCTAAGGGAAGATTCTGCTGTGAGGTGGTTACTGAGCACAGAAGGAACCAAATGGCTAAACAAAGCTGTGCCGGCATGAAGTCTAATAAACATAGAGATTTTGTTCTATCTATATGATTACCAATTGCTATGCCTAAGCAATAGAAATTCTTCAAGATTGATACATTAAATAAAATAGCATGGAATGTAACCCAGCATAGAGAGCATCAAATAATGTTCATGAACAGAAAACAAAAAAAGGGAAATAATACTAAAAGCAAGAGAATAATAATGTCTTCTATAAAATAAATACTGGACTGTGTAGTAGAGGGGAAAGAGAAGAGAGGAGAAGAGGAGAAGAGGAGAAGAGGAGAGAGAGAGAGAGAGAGAGAGAGAGAGAGAGAGAGAAAATCTTTTGAGATTTTAATTTTTATTTTATTTCTTACTAGAGCTTTTCTCACAAATGCAGTCTGCTTTCTTTTTCATTATTATTTCCATTATTTGGGATAGGTATTGACCAACCGGTTTCATAAACTGAGAGAGTGACTGGCCCAAAGTTGCCCAGACGGCTTTCATACCTAAGGTGGGATTAGGCTTCTAGCCAGGTGCATAACAATATACCGTGACTTCAAAGCAATTTCCTGAGATTCTTTTGAGAAATAGCAGATACTATGCTTGAATTTTGCTGATGCTTTGAAAGATGCAATGGTGACCAATAATTATCATTCCTTATTGTGAAATTTCTCACCCCTTGTGTATCACCTGGGGAAATATCTCATCTGCCTTAAGAAAACTGGATCCTAAATGGATTTCCAGATCATTATCCCCATGGTCTCAAAAAACTGAAATTTAGTTCTTTATAAAAATGCTTAGGATTGTAAAACCTGGGTAGTAGCATAAAACAGTCTCACATATATCCCTGAATAGCTGCTAAAATCCTAGTTATGTAACAGTAGTTGCTGAGATATTGGTGGATTTGGGTGGATTTGCAGACAGAAATAACTCTATTCTTCTAACATACAAGACCTCTGTTAAATCTTTTTAAAAATTACAGGAAGTTCTTGGCTTATGACCAGTTGCTTAGCCGCCTCACCTTCGGTCACACATTTATGGATATTTGCCACATTCCACAATCATCTGACTACATTTTGAATTTTTTTTTGCAGAAAACAGACATTTACATCCAGTTTTTGGCATAAATAGCCCATAGTGAACAACTATTTGTTGTTTTTGTTTTCCAGCAGTCACTTAAGCACTGCCTCAAAAAAAAGTCATAAAATCTGGTTGGTCAAATAGGTGATCCGATAAACGACCATTGCAGACTTACAGCTGTAATGAGCAGGCTCCATTATGGTTGCAAGTTAAGGACTACCTGTACTTTTTCTTTTCAAAACTACTTCTGAATCTCAAATTACTGTATTCCTTGCTATAAATGATAACCATTTGGCTGATATTGATAGCATGCTTTCAGAATTTCTCAGTTAAGTGTTTCTACCCCAATGATCAAATTGCCAAAGCAGATTAGTTTAAATCAAATCTTATTAACAGGCCCAACAAGATTTTATCATAGCATGTGGCAACATCCACTGTGGGAGTCAAAGCAAGAACCAGTATTTCTTAGACCAGAGATGGCAACAAAGTAAGTAATCAATAGTTGTTCAGCTTCAAGCACTCCAAATGGGGGGGAGGAGGGGGAAAGGAAGAAGAATTAGAATGAGAAGAGGAGGAGGAAGAGGAGAAGGAGGAGGAGGAGGAGGAGGAGGAGGAGGAGGAGG